CCGCTATGAACATAGGTGTTCATTAGTTCTTTTGAACAGGTGACTCAGGATTCATTCTGTATATTCCTAGAAGTCGAATCAGAGGGTCAAAGGCAGTTCCGTTTTTAGTTTGTAAAAGCCATTAATATTTGAAAAGGGGGCTATAGCATACAATGGAGTAGACAGCCTCATCAATAAATGGTGCTGGGAGAACAGGACTGCTACATGTAAGAAAATGAAACTAAACCACAAACACATACTATATACAAGAATAAACTCAAAATGGATAAAAGACAAATATGTCATGATACCATAAAAGTCCTAGAGGAAATCAGATGCAGGAGAATTTCAGATATCCCATGTAGCCATACTTTTGCCAATGTATCTCCTAGTGCAAGGAAAATTAAGTAAAAATAAACAAATCAGACTACATCAAACTAGAATGCTTCTGCATGACTACAGAAACCATCATCAAAATGAAAAGGGAACTAACTTTGTAGGAGAACACATTTTCCAATAATACATCAGAGAAGGGTTTGATTTCCAAAGTATATAAATAACTCATATGAATCAAAATCATGAAGACAAACTCTTCAGTTAAAAAATGGACAAAAGAGCTGAATAGATACTTCACCAAGGAGGACACACAGAGGGCCCATGGACATATGAAAAACAAATGCTCTATATCACTAGCCAGGAAAGAGATCAGAACTAAAACCATGTTGAGATGTCAGCTCACAACTGTCTTATGGCCATCAGCAATACATCAGCAAACAACAAGTCCTGGTGAGGATGTGGAGAAAAGGGAACCCTAGTGCACTATTGGTGGGAATGCAGATTGGTGCACTCACTGTGGAAATCAGTGCAAAATTTCCTTAAAACACACTAAACATGTTCCTTGCATTTTAAAATGTTAAAAATGTTGAAAGACTTGAAATGTCATGGAGACATGGGTTCTCAGTGGATTGCTGCTTCTGATTTTGTGACAGGACATTTCTCCCCTCTCTTCTGAGAGTCTTCACATCAGACTCCCAATGTTCAGCAAGCAAATGGTTGCAACTGAGTTTTTAGAAACACCAAACCAAATACTGTCTCCAGTTAAAATGATATGCAGACAAAAGATTTAGACATTGTTCCTGGCCGGTGTAGCACAGTATATTGAGCAGTAGGTCTCTGAACCAAAGGGTCATTGGTTCAATTCCCAATCAGGGCACATGCCTGGTTTGCAGGGTCAGATCCCGAGTAGGGGGTGTGTGAGAGGCCACCACACATGGATGTTCCTCTCCCTCTCCTTCTCCCCTACTCCCCCCTCTCTAAAAATAAATAAATACAATAAAAAAGATTTAGACATAACCTGCTTTTTTTAGTCATTTTCTATGGTTTAATTCCCACACTCCTCCAACCACTGAATAAATGTTCGCAAGAGGTCAAGAATGTGACTTTATCTACCAGGGCCTCTGCAAGTTCAGATTAATTAAGATAAGGTCATACTGGTATAGGATGGTCCTTAATTAATACATACGATATCCTATAAGAAGAGGGACATTTGGACACAGAGACAAACACACAGGATGAAAACAATGACATGACAGAGGCAGAGGCTGGAGTAAGATGTCTGGAAGCCATGGGATGCAAAGCACTGAGGGCTCCACCCAACAGTAAGAGAAATGCATGGTCCAGAGTCTCCCCTGGATCTTCAGAGAAGATAGTCCTGTTGACCTCTTGATTTCGGAGGTTAACCCTCCAACTGTGGCAGATGAAATATTGTTGGTACAAGCCAGAAAACATTAAAATACATGAGTAGAGGACACATGGGCAGGGACAATGGGGAGGTAATAGACCAGGTGGGTGGGCAGGGCAGGGGAGGGAAATGGAGAAAATAGTGGGACAATTGCAATTGAACAATGATAAAAATAAAAATAATGAAAATAAAACATATCATGTTCAGAGGTACAAGTGTTGCATGAAAACATTTAAAAAAAAGTTAGAATAACTGGGAATGCCATCTAGGAGAAAACTGCAAAATCATTGGGTTCCACTGGGAACATAATATTCAGATAAAGACATGAAGTTGTTATAAAATCAGCAATCTTGATAAATTTGATGCTAATCATCACAGTGCACAAGTGATATGGTCTCAAGTACATTCTGTATGCTCGTACCTTGTCATTTATTTCTCTTTTTGTTATTCACACTGAACACTTGTGAGGGCACAGCATTTCAGTCAGACTCTGCAGTCTCTGTGATGCTGCAGTCAGAGTCACTTTATGTCAGAGAGATGACAACTGTTGAGAAGAATGCGGCTTTAACCATATTCACAAAAGTCACCATTTTACCAAGACCATCCAAAAAAGTCTGAACACTTTTTTTTTTGAATATTGGCTTTGATCAACTAATTTCCTATTCAGACTTATTCTCCTAATCATTTCCTTTGGTGATTTCGCCTCAAAACTTTAATTATTTTTGCCCTGGCTGGCGTAGCTAAGTGGATTGAGCGCGGGCTGGGAACCAAAGTGTCCCAGGTTCGATTCCCAGCCAGGGTACATTCCTGGGTTGCAGGCCAGAACCCCCAGCAACCACACATTGATGTTTCTCTCTCTCTCTCTCTCTCTCTCTCTCCCTCCCTCCCTCTCTAAAAAATAAATAAATAAAATCTTAAAAAAAACCCTTTAATTATTTTTATTTCTTTGCCTATATTGACATGAAGTAGTTTAAGTTTGAGAAATTATTTCTATCATTAAATGATGACTCTATTGATGTGTAAATTAATTGTGTTAAACACAAAGACACATACCTGGCAGTATTGAAGTGATGTGAGAACCAATGTGGCTCTGCAGTGCATGTAGACATGTTATATTCTGAGTCTGGAATTTCCATAACCCCCACAGGGGTCATAACTGCTGGAACACTATTCTCATCTGCACAAGTTTCTATGGCTATTATTGTAGATTACATTACTTTTCAGTGAATCTACATTTCTTCTCTCTGACCACTATGAGAATGTATACTTTGTAGAAAATTAACAAGTTGGCCACATGACTGGTTTGGTTAATATAATGTTTGTGAAAATAACAGTTTATGAGTTCAGAGCACAGGCATTAAGTAGCACATTTCTGCTAGCTCTGTGGAGAGTGGCTAATCCCTGCTCTGAGAAGGTCACATATCAGGCAGCCCACTGTTCAGAGAATAAAAGATATAAAAAAATCTGAACTGAATCTGTAGTCTGGAGCTAAGCCCGTACATGCTCAGCCTATATCACCTGAAAGCCAACCAAACCACACATGGATAACTGAGAAAAACTGAGTAAGATTAATGCTTGCTTGCAAATGCCAACACAACTGCGTTGTTTGTAACACTATGTCAGCTATTAGATACAACTCAATGCACATATCACATGAAATTAATTTTGAATAGTCACGTATTATATATATATGAACATAATGAATAAATACAGAGAACATAAAAAAGATATATTTAAACAGATGAATGTATAGGAATTATTAATTCATTTTGCACAAGATAAACAAATATAGGATATCTCCTATTTGTAATTGAATTATAGTGAAACTACCACTTAATGATATCAAATTAATAAATTTCTTCCCACATTTTGTCAATAACTAATGTTTAATTCACATGGACATGTTATCTTTTTTAATTCTTATATTGTTATTTTTAACATTGTGTTTTTTCTATCAATGTAGGTTTCTAAGCAAAATGTCAAAAAGAATAGACAAATAATTTAATAAAACAAGTTACCTTCAAAAATAACTAAAATCCAGTAGAGGAAAACAAAACAGATATATAAGAGATATCAAAGGACACTAATTATTGCCCAATGAAACTACCAGTCTCTACAAAAAAAAATGACTACAATAATTGATAATGATGCACTAAATGGATTCAGAAGATATTTGTGTTGGTTTTGTTGTCCAAGCAAGTATAGTCCCATGGCCTTTGTTATAGAAATCTTGGTTTTGTTGCATAGTAACAGTGAGTGCCAATTAGAAATTTAGTTCTCTCTGCTGCATACCTATACCTATTGTACTTTCTGAGATAATAGCTGCAGATCCTACAACCTCTTCTTCAGTCAGCTCACTTGATGTTTTGTCAATGAAGGACACTGGGAGAAAGGACTCCTCTTTCTGGTTTCATGCTGTTTTCTCTCCTGTGGCTCCAGTGATGTGGCTGACATCTGCATGCATGCAGGAAGTTCTGGTGGTATTCACCCTCCAGCAAGTTTCTGGGACTAGTCACAGCCATAGCTCCCCTTCTCCAGCCTGGGCCTGCTGACACTTTGTCAGAGAGGTCGTCCTACTCACCAGTCACACTGTGAGATCCATCCTCACCCACATCAGCCTACAGACTGGGAACTGCTCTCTCCTAGAGTCATCCAGTGAACGTGTCTGCCATAGAGTTTTCTGTGATATGAGTCTGAAACCCATTGATGAAGAGATTGTCTTTGGTCTTATATGATTCTTCCTTTTGGTAATCTTCTTTGATTAGCCCTTTGTTACATTTTATAATTTTCTTCAACCACTGTCTGTAGTCTACCCTCCTAAAATACTTAATAATTCTTTAAATCATCCCTGGTTTCTCTGTCCTGACTCCACTGCCTTACACACCTTTGATATCCTAATATATTCAGTCCTCTTTTTCAACATTCAAAGACTGGTGAGAATTATATTGAAGTTGTGTTTACAATTACTCCTGTTATTTTAGACTTAGGAGTAACTGTGCTTGATATGAAAATTCATAATTTATACTTGATATATTTCAATTAATAACAAAATGTTTAAATGTTTAATATGCACTTGGATATATACTTTTAAAGGTTAACATAAATACAGATATCAAAACAATTGTATAATAACAAGGACGAAGCATCAGATACAGTATGGACTTTAAGTGACTATGATGTGTCAGTACAGACTCATTCTCAGTAACAAACATCCCTCTCTGCTAAGTGATGCTGATAATGGGGATCCTTTGCATGCAGGGCTACATGGGAAATGTGAGTACCTTCCTTTTATTTTTGTAGTGAAACTAAAACTGATCTCAAAATAATTCTTAAAACTTAGTTTTACAAAAACAATGTCAGCATTCTTGAAGAAACTAGAAATGTGTTCTTTAGGGGTGGTGAGAGGAACATGATACCAAAGTTAGGTGAGCTAATGTGACTGGTGCTTACAAATACATGTTCTCTTTTCTAGACAGGATTTGGAATAGAACTTGTGTGTTTCATAATTCCAAAATACACAATTCTTGTCCAACTTGGAAGTTTTTGCAAACCTGAAATGCAGAGATAATAAATCATTAATCTGAGGATACATAACTTAATATTTAAATAAGCAAATATTTACAGTAATATTTACACAATAAATTTGAATATTTCTTAAAAATTTTCTAAAAAACATTTAAGTATTTCTTCACATAGTTGTTTACCCATTGCCTTTTGTTTCTAAGATTAATTCCTGATTTGAAAGCATGAGGGAATAATATATAGGCATTCTAAAGAAACTTACAGATCAGAAGAGAGAGTTGTGCCAATTGTCCACACCCAAGAATTAGTATTATTTCTCTGGAACAGTCCAATCCATGGAACTATTTCAAATATGTTCAAAAAATTCTACGAGGAAATAAAATTTATGAGAAATTAATTAAAATTAACTTGTATTTGTAAAAACAAAAAAGGTTGGCTCCCAGTTAGAGGGGGAGGTGACAGCTAAGTAAACTGCACAGCCCACCAAAATCTGATGACATTAGTGAATAAGCAATAAATCACATCCTGCCACCCAGGAATTCTTGGTCACCCCACCTAGCTGGCTGAGCATATCCAACAACCAAAGATCACATGACCTTGTGTGAAAAAATTAAAGACCCTGAATTGACGTGGAACACCTCAAGATTCACCTGATTTGAGGCAACAGCTCCAGCAGAACCAACAATATTCTAAACAACTGGCCAAAGAAACAGGTAAGTCCATGAAACTGTCCATATCTCCTCCTACCACCCTCAGTGAACAGCATGGAAGGAAAATACATGTTATTTTTTAAAGGCTGAATTCACAACATCACTGACCAGCTCTCCAAAGGCCAGCAGCTGTGAAAGAGAAAGAGTGTTTTGCATGAGTGGGGAGCCTGTGCCAGAGCATCTGGTGGAACTCCTGAGGAGAGCTCAAAGAAAGGAATATTGTGTTCTTGAAAAGTGAAACTCACCCGCAAGGTCAGGTGCAGGATGAAGGAATTACAGAAGGTGACCTCCAACTTATTTCATGAAAGAGTCTTCTCTTAGACAACTGTAAGCTGATACTATGGATATTATATACTTTTCAAAAGTCTGGGAATGATAATTCATGACCAAAGAGGTGTGATGGCATTGATCCAAAGTTGGAAATGCAGGGATGCATGTGCAGCAAGATAACCAGCAACCAAGGGCGGCAGAATATCAGAAAGAGAACTCTTCATGTTGTTGTAAGATACGCAAGACTTTTAAGAAAACTACAAATCTACAACTACGCTACAATGGGAGAATAAAACAAAAGTGTAAACCTTTATATTTTATTTTATTTATATATTAATGATTCAATTTATTTATTTTTAGAGAGAGAGGGAGAGAGGGAGAAAGAAAGGGAAACATTAATTGGTTGCCTCTCCTATTCTGGATCCCGGACTCATTCAGCAACACAGGCACCTGCCCTGACTGGGAATTGAACCAGTGACATTTCCCTTTATAGAATGATGTCCAACCTACGGATCAACCTACCCACACCAGTCAGGGCAGCCTTTACATTTTAAATGACTGTATTATAATTCTTTTACCTCTGGTTTTATTCTGTGTTGAGAATTTGAATGCAGGTTTTGCTAATATTAAACAATGAGAATGATTTTGTACACTAATAAATTGGCCATATAAAAGTGGGACAATGATATTTTCGGAGAACTTATTTTGAAAAGCAAGTTTAAAAAAATGTTTTTTCTTTACTGTTCACATTCAATATTTTTTTGGACCTATGTATGCCTTGAAAGGTGATCACCCCAATGAATCTGGGGTCCATCTGGCACCATGCATAATTTTTAGAATATTCTTGACTATATTCTCCATGTTGTGCTTTGCATTGTTGTAACTGGTTTTACAAGTGGAAATTTACAAAAGAACTTTTTGATGAAAGCTTCAAAATGTATAAGCTATTAAGCTACTCTTAATTTTCATACATAAGTAACCATTTTTCACCATTCTTTATTTAAAATAATAGATGTATGCCACTTAACTCCCCTTTTTAAATCAATGTTATTTTTTATTACTTTATTTCTATTGGAGAGAGAGAGAGAGAGAGAGAGAGAGAGAGAGAGAGAGAACAATCAGTTGGTCCACTTAGTGTGGCATTCCTTGGGAGCTTCTTGTGTGTGTTTGATGGGGCATCAACCAGCAATCGGCCTGTATTCTGATGATGCTCTAACCAGTGGACCTACTGGAACTGGGCCTATATCAATGTAGTTTTAAAATTCCAATCAGAATAGAGAAAGAGAATTATGTAGTTTATAGTTTGTATTTTATACTGTTCTTATATACCAGCTTGAAAAAGGCAATGTTTGAAAAGGTAATGTTGTAAATGGCAATCTATGAGACTTCAAATGGAATTAAATAAAATATTAAGTAACTAAATTGTATATTTGCAACATAAATAAAGATGTTTTTAAAAATGAAAAGCCAAATACAGTTATTTTTCTAGGTTAGAGTGATTCAATTTATAATATACTTTTATATATTGGACACATCAAGAAAATGTATTAGCATGACTAGGTGAAGGAGAGATATAACAATTTCATACCTCTGAAATTTGATCAAGGAGTAAAAATAACATAAGCATTTATTATTGGAAAAAGCAGCTAGAAATTCCAGTAAAAAATAGAGTAAATTTGTAGTCTTCATGTCTGAGACTGCTCCCAAGTCTCCCTCAGTCTCCACCTCAGTTCCTGAGTAAAAAGTGTAATTCTTACTGTTTGGGGAATGCTGAAACATCACTGGTATTGCCACAGGGGAAGTCTGATTACTCTGGAGGTGGTGGTTAAACTGCCCACTCTTTTTTCAGGTCAAAGTGCTGAATTCACTAGGTTAAAAGTGAGGAAGACCACACTTTTTCTAGTCTGTGTCAGCACAGTACCAGCTATAAATATAAGAGGAAGGTACTCAATGTGAGAGCACAGTACAAGAGGTGATATTAACTCTCTACACCTACTTGGTCTGTGGGGAAAAAAAATTGCATCATGTAGAAGAAACAAAGATGATCTGGTAAAAAAAATAAGCCAAAGTTTATTCTAGAACTCATTTTAAAGGTATGAGTACTCCCTTACAAACACACACACATACACAAGTACAAGTAGCAGAGGGTGGAGCCATACTGACTGAGGTATTTGAATACATTTGTAAAAATCACTGGTTGTCAAGTAAGCTATGCGGCCCTAGGAGAATCTCAGTAATTGACTCAAAAAACAAAATAATAACAAGAATTTTACAAACTTAGTGAGCACACTTCAAAAGAGATGATTCTACAGTAAGAGTTTACTGAAGTTACAAAAAGGTAAATTTAATAAGCATGTAGGAGGATCCATGTTTATTACACTACATTATTGAAAACATAGACTTACCAAAATTTTGAAACTATAAAAAGTAACTAAAAAATATCTTCCATAGTCAGGGGGATATCAGCCACACAGGACAACTTTCACTGGGATAAGATGTTGAATTTTTTATTCAAATAGTTAGTATTAGTTATTATAAATATAAATTTACCTAATATGTATTTTAAAAACTATATTCAACTAACTCTATGGAAATACGATGGCAGTGACAGAACAATTAGGGAAATAAAAACTGTATCAATGAATCAAATAAAATTATCAATTGAAAAATCATTATCTACATTACAAAATTCAATACATTGACATAAATATTAAGATGTAGAAGAAAGAATTGATGAAATAAAGATGGAGTGACAGAAATAATTAATTCCTGAAGGTAGAGAGAAAGAGAAAGAAAAACTAGAAGATCTTTATAGAACTTTACCAGTAAAATTATTGTCTGTGAACAAAAAGAAAGACAACAGAAGACAGAAAAAAATTTTGAGACACAATGAATGATCATCTTCTTAAATTATGTTAAAATATATAGACCCATGTATGTAAAGTTGTTTATGTAGAAAAGATCATCTGCTATAAATTAAGCCGTATTAACTAGGTAATGATGCAGGAAAGTGGGAACTAGACCTCTACCACGCAGCATCACAAACACAGCATCACAAAAATATACATTCTGAAAGTATTACAAACCTAAAAGTAAAAGTCCATCAACAAAGAAAAAAGATAAACCATGAAGAGTAATGCAGTAGATTATCTTCATGAACTTTGACTAAGTTCTAAAATATGTCCAAAATAATTACCAACATCTAAAAGAAAATATTGAACTATGGTAACATTAATAAATCCTGATCATTAAAAAACACCAATATGAGAAGACAAATGTAATTAAACATCAAGAAAGCCATTTGCATCTCCAAAATTTAAAAAAAAGCTATATCAAAAATATAACTACTTCTAAAAAGGAAAATTGCAGGTAACATATAGGAGAAATTGTTAAGATACATGAGAGGGTATTTCTCATACTCTCAGAAATAAATTCATAATGAATAGTGCTCTGAAACATGTTCAGTTGATCAGTATGAGGAAAATACCTATTAATGTCATAATGATGCTTTTTTATAATGATCAGAGCTGATGGCATTAAAATTTCAGGCACTGCTAAGCTCTGGATCATGAAACTATTGGATATAATGTGTATTTATACAACAAACTAGAAATCAGGATAATTTACATACACATGTATTTCTGACCCTAAAATTTCAATCTGATGCACAAAGGCAATGCATTTTACTTACACACATGTGTCATTAAAACAACTATATTTAAAAATTATTACTATATTATTAAAAAAATAACAGACATGGTAAATCAATTTATATATTATATGTATTATTATGTATAAATTATTTTAAGTGTGTATTACTTGGAAAAAAGAAATGTACAATGATTTTTATTAAATAATTATTCTAGCAACCACATATTAAAAATGTCTCTATTCTGAGAGGAATAGATTAAAGAATGCCAGGTATGTACAATATAGCAATGAGAATTAACAAACTTCATGTACATTCAATAATATGGGTTAATTAAAAAAAATATCATGTGGGAGTTAACAGAGACATGTAAAATTCATAATGAATGATTCCCATTATGCAAAATTCAAAATTAAGCAAAGATCATTTGTGATATAAAATCTCAGAACAATGGTTGAGGGAGGAAAGAGGAGAAGTTGTGAGAGAGTGCACAGGAGTGGGCTGGCTACACCTATTTGATGACCAATTTCAGTCTGTGTAACACACACAATCATATCTATAGTCTCCATGATGCATGGTACAATGAAGTAGTAAAATTTACTTTAGGAAAAAAAGCATTTATAGAAGCCTGATTGTCTATGAAAATCAAGAACTGAAAATTATCAAATGCACATTATGGCATAAAATATAAATCAAATATTATAGAGTCAAATAATAAAATATTAACAATCTTTATAATAAATTACAGATATATACAAAAATATGAATGAATTCTATAGAAATATAAAATACTCTTTCAAATAAAATGTTGGAAACATTAAAAATCTTACCATTTCTTCTTCATTATCTATGTAGAGCAGGTTAGAGTTCTTAGAAGCACAGGCTATCAAACTCTCATTCCATGTTTTTCCTTCAGTGCTGATGTAATAGCAATTGTTGGAGTACATTAACCACTCTGGTGGACATCGACCACAATGGTATGCTGAGGAAAGATTATGTATTGTCATCCAAGAACAATATGAATTTTAGAATGAAAGTTAATTTCAGTGTTTCCATATGTAGAGACAAATTAGTGCACAGTTTATGCATATACCCTCACAGACTGGCATATATAAAGCATAATACACTCATACACACTCACACACACTCACAGAGAAGGGTCAGCCCCTCATTCCCTAATTTATATGCCCATATTAAGCAAACACAAAATGAAAATATTCACTTTCTATATGTTCTGAATGTCAGTGAAGGAAACCAAATCTTTAACAACCGAAATTATCTTTCAACCAATTGTCAACAATGAGTACGATGAAATTAAATGAATATTTCCTCACATTTTTGCATAAGAAAAACACTCTTGTATACTCATTTTATGTACATTTATTGCTCAGTATTATAACTTATGCTCCCCTGATCCCCCCCAAAAAACCTATAAATTTTGAATGTGTTAGAGACAAGGTAAGAACTTTATTGATATCAGAACATAGAAAATAATTAAGTACCTTTCTGGTTCCCTGTTGTCTGGTTCCCTGTCCGGTTCTCTGCTGTAACTATCTGGCTCCCTGTTAAAATAATATATAGCCTATATTATATACAAGAAAGAAGAATTATTCTTCACCATTATCACATTAGCTGGAAAAAAAGTAATTATTATAAAAATTAATGTTGATCTACATAAATCTTAATACCTTTGTTCCTTACTTTGAAATGTGGCTCAATTTTCTAGGATTAAAATAGCCTGGAATAAAATTGATTTTACCAAGAAAAATTATTGAATCTATGATCATTTGGGGGAAAATATTTCAAAAGCCTTGAGAAGGAAATTTTACCATCTCTTACAGTATTGGCTTAATCAATAAGAAGAATTTACTTGTATTTATCAGTAAATTTCCCTAAAGAATGACTTGAATTGTAATACAAATATATATACTCATGTATGGGATATATACATATATATTTATACATTACTTTCTAAAATGTTCTGATATTTATACCTTGGACAAATTTTGTGCAGAGTAACAATTTTGTTCTCAGTCTATACACATACTTTAAAACAAGTCTTTATTCTACAATATTATGAAGTGCTTAGAGGCACTGAGGAGCATAAAATAATGATTTTTTAACTAAACACAATTAAATTATAAAACAAAAGCTTACATATATACATAGGTATATGCATATATCAGCACAATATCTATGCACACTTACAAGGTGATGCATATAAAAAATTCAAATACGCATTATGGAGAAAGGTCATCTCTCATCCCCTATTGTTTGTGCCCCTATTAAAAAATAAATATATCCATCCTCTCATACCTAGGACATCAATGAATGCAACCACTTCTTATGTAGCATAGCAATGTTATTTGTTCATCTTTTAGAGCTGTAGGACATATAAGCCAATTGGTCTCAATGGGAAAGTGATGTTATTTCATTCATTTATTTTTTATCCTCACATGAGGATATGTTTATTGATTGTAAGGAAAGAGGAAAGGAGAGAAAGGGAGAGAGAAACAGTGATGTGACAGAGAAGCATTGGCGAGTTGCCTCCTGTACATGCCATGAACGGGGATCAAACATGCAACCTGGGTATGAGACTTGAACAGGGATCAAACCTGCAATCTTTTTGTGTATGGGATGACATTCAAATCAGTTGTGCCACTGAAGCAGACATGGATATGGTAATTTTAAATATATACTACTTCATATGCATGAGAAAAAAAATCACTCTCCTATAATCATTATTTATGAACATTTATTGCTGTATTTCATCATTTATATTCTCCCTCACAAGTATATTTTATCTGTGCCTTCCCTAAAACAGAGAAAATATAAACTGTACTATAAACAGAACTTTGAAAATCATAATGTATCTTTTTCCATCCTTGCTACTGTTCAGAAATCCTTCCTACTGTGGACAAAGTACTGCTCTCCAGTTTTATAGTACCTAGAAAACGTTGCACTGATTCTCAAAATAAAAATTAATGCTGATAGATTTAAACTCCATTATTTTGGTTTCTTAGTTTGAAATGTGGTGAGTTGTTTAGGAGCAGAAAAATCTGAAATAAAGTGATTTCACCAAAACAGTTAATAAAAAGGTAAAGATTTAGGGGAAGAATATTTCAAAATACTGTAGAATCACACTTCACCATTTCTTATAATATTGGTTTAAACAATCTCAAGAATTAATTTGTATTTCTCAATAAGGTCTTTAGATTTCTAATCCATATATTTAAGTAATAAAATCAAAATATACAAATGGATGTTAAAAACTCTTTACCATCATTCTCTTATTTATGCACATGAAAAATTCAGAATGACATTCCACATTTACCTAAATGTTTACTTTAAAGTGAAAGCTCTATTCCATAATATATTAAAATGTTTACAGGAACTAGGATACATTAAAGTGAGAAGTTCTCTTAAAATATTTCAAAAGCTTACTTACAGAGAGCCATTCTTACTAAAATGTACAAGATAAGGCAGATGACTCCCAGGATCCCAGCAATGAGCTTCTCTGGTGGGGATAGTGAATCTGCAGCAAGAGAGAAATGGAGACATTGGTTGGACAGATTTCAGAGAAAACCCAAATGAACAGGGAATCACAGAAATAAACTTGAACCACCCCCAAACCAAGTCTTCCACTGCAATCTGCCCCTCAGAATATAGCATTGCATTTTCAGGAAATATAATCCTCCCTGAGCTGCTGGTCCAAGATGACACCTTACAACAATGTCTGAATAAATCACTGCTCAGATTTCATATTAAGGCATTGTTTTGCAACTTTAAGTTCTGATCTTCACAACTGAAAAAATGTCAGCTAATTCCGTAGTCTTTCCCCTATGTCTTCACACTAACTGCACATCCCAGAACAGTTCTACTGTGTGTCTGTTAAATGTGTCACCTGTGCAGTGGTTCTTGTCATTCCCTTGAAGATCTTGAGAAGCATTTTGAAATTCTATTTCCACAGAGGACACATGTTGTTTGGTTTGGAAAACAGAACTTTTCATGTTCTTGCCTTTCCTTTGCTGTCTCCTGGAGTCCTTAGCCAGACTCAGTTCTGAGTGGTTTTCCCATTGGAGATCCATCTCTGCAGCTGAGTAACATCAGGGATGGTTCCTCTGATGACAGTACTTCAGTGTTAATACATGATGTAAACATCGACAAGATCCCTAGGAGGGTCAGTGTGGGTGGAGTGTGAGAAAAGAAACAGTACTCATTTTGCTTTTGACCAACGTGAAGTCTTGTTCTAATTGACTTCGAGATTTAAATGTTTCCCATATAATAATTGTATAATTCTATGATATTCTACATTTGACATGATATTTTTGGTTGAAGCAATGAAAAGTAATAATTTAGCAAAGAATAAAATAGTTAAGAATAATATCATTATAAAGTCAGATTACACTGACATTTTGACTCTGTTAGAATAACTGTGAAAATTAAAATGCTGTATAAAAAATGTACCAATTTTAATAACATTTTCTAAATCCACTAATTTTTAAAGATTGAATGTTCTAACATTGGAGAAATAATAGTGTTAGCATATATAGTAATTAACTTCAATAAATTAATGTAATTTAGTCACAATCATTAGGCCAAAGGACAGAAGAGGCACAATCAAATATTTTATTTTGAATAATTGTAGACTTCTGAAAGATCATTTAAATTTTAATGAAATTTTGTATATGTTGAAAATGTTACATGACACATTAAACTTAACCAAAGGTCAATAAATAATAAATGCATTAGAACATCAGAGGATTATTTAACATAGTTTATACCAGTAACTTGCAATTTATTTAATGGTTAAGGTATGAAAACACAAAAAGTGATAACTAAGTGTGTTGTAGATCATTTATGGAGGAACACTGTTAGTGCAAAAATCCCTTGGATGTCAAATTCTGTGAAGGTAGCTTTAGTGCACAGGCAAATGTAATAAATCAGAAAATGTAATTTGATAATTTAGTCATTGGGTGCTGCAGTCAGTGAGATTTGGAATACATTCTGGTTTTGAAATTCACAATGTTTGGCCTTTAGTAATTAGTGTCTAGCCACCCAGTTTGCTAAGTAAAGTGGAAATGAAAATATGTGAGATTCAATGCATGTAAAACACTTAATACTCAATCTACATTTATAAGCTTTCCAGAAAATTATTATAACACAGTTGCCATGTTAGTATTTTTAGTTATATCAGACAGTGTAACAATTCCTGCCACAGGAGCATCTTATCAATGTGGCATCTCTTGTTGCAATGTGTTGTTCAATTTCTAAAAATCATCTGATTGTATATAATTAAGTTTAACCATTTTACAGAGACTGCTAAATCTTGATTTTTACTGCAAGTCAAAAAGCTTTTATTTAACTAAAATGAATTTTTGAAGAATCATGTTTGACCACCATGCTTTGATGAATTCATTTTAAAAATCTATTTTTATGGTCTGGATTAACTATGAAGTCATATGCATATATAATTATATCTATTAATTACAAAATGCAAAGTTAACTGCTCCTTGTCAGGATGCTTACAGCTTTTCATTTAAGTTATCCTGATTTTAAAACCAAAATATGTATGTGGTATGCTTGCTAGTAATTTTGCACAGGCAAAAATTTGAATTTTTTTCAAATTTTACTCTTTACCTTAAAGTATACGAAAATGAAGACCAATGTTTTCTTTCATTTTATTCTGCATTCATTGTACTTCATCTGTAACACATCTAGAATTTGTAATTTCCCATTAAATGAATTGGGTCAGTACAGAGAAAGGAGATTAGAAACACATACCTCTGGAAGCCAGAAAGTCGTGCACACTTCACAGGAGAACTGCTGACTCCAGTCTACAAGCAGTGTCTGTCGTCCTCACAGACTGCCCCTTGAACACTGAGAGTGAGGTAAAAGTATAAAAAAAGTAGATTTCTCATCACTGTGTCACTTAAAGTTTCAACAGGAAGTTCTTACATTTGGGCAATTTTGAAATTGGTTTACCTGATCACACACCTCCAGAATATAGGACACTGTGAGCTTGCAGAGTGTCATTTAGTTTGTGCATTCGTAAGAGCCCCTGAGAAATCACAAGTATTACCAAAGATTTCTGGAACAAAAAAATTATCCACCCTACTCTTAGCTTACCTCCACCTTAAAATTTACAAACACTGAAAATTTAGGCCTTGTTAAGAGAATCTTAGATGTTTCAATCCTACCCTTGGACACTGTTGCTAAATATTGCCTAAATGTTGCCTTACTCAAATGTATTTATATGCTCACTGTCTCTTAGTTATAATGGAAAAAGATAAAATCATAAATCTATTAGCAATGGGTACAAAATGATATTTGTCACTAATGTTCAGAGGAATAACTGCATTTTCAACTAAGGATAACTGTCAGAAATATTAATGCCCAAACTTACCTTTTCAATATCTCTGCCCTCATTTTTTTAAATGGCTGCATTGGTTTTATAAATTTTATATAAGAATTTATATTTTCCCTGATGATAATAAGTGTCTCTGAAGGAGAGAACATTAAATAACACTGTGGTATACTAAAATGTAAAAGATTGAAATATTAAATTGTTACTCACTTTATTATTTATTAATCCATCCTCCAATCATAAATAGCTATCATTATTTTAATAGAAATATTTGTTGTAAATGACAAAAATCAAAATATAACTATGTAGGATGAAAACAAATGCAATATTAAAAAATTTAACCTAATCAAAATAGAAAATGACAAAGAAAGTAGTTTTGGAAACACAAGTTCTATTGAGACAAAGAAAGACTAATGTTGCATGGTATCATTTACATGTGAAATTTGAAAATAACAAATTCAGAAAACAGTGTCAAAGGCTGGTAGTAAGAATTGAAGAAGTTGGAAAAAGTTTCAAACTTTCACTTGGAAGATAAAGAAGCCTAAGGATCTAATGTATCACATGGTAGCTACAGTCGATAACACTGTATTGTGTAATTGAAGTTCACTCAGACATGGATCTGAAATGTTTTTACCAAAGGATAAAGGGTAACAAATAAACTGCAGATTGTAGAACTTTCAATTGATGTGCAACCCTACTGCATATGAGAAATTCTAAAAGATAATTCTACAAATTAGTAGTTATAAAATTGTCATGAGGATGTAAAGGTTAGGAAATATGGTCAATAATATTAAAATAATCACATAAAGGGCATGGCGGGGGGGTAGACTTATTTAGGGATCACAAGTTATATAAGGGTCTGACCACTATGCTGTACACCTGAAACTACCCTACAATGATATTGGGTGTCAACTGTAATTGAGAAATAAAAATTAAAGTAAAATTGCATTTGCAAAATTAAAAAGACATTCTGTAGTATGGTTTGATCTCATTGTATAGGTGCAATTTTTGAAATCCCATGAACAATATCATTACTTATTACCTGTTATATTCTGAAAATAATTGAGGTCAGAATATCATGGGATGAAATGTATGGACTTTAAACCATGCAATTCATTAACACAATAGAACAGAAAAGCTTTCCCGTATGGTTGGTTATCTTTTCACTTTAATGCTATTTTCTTTAGCTGCAGAAGCTTTTTATTTTGATGAGATCCCATTTGTGTATTCTTTCCCTTATGTCCCTTGCTCCAGGGGACATATCTGTGAAAATATTGCTGCGTGGACTATGAGATTTTCCTGCCTGTTTTCTCCTGTAGGACTTGAATGGTATCATGACTTATATTTAAATCTTTTATCCATCTCGAATTTATTTTTGTGTATGGTTTAAGGTGGTGCTCAAGTTTCATTTTTTTGCATGTAGCTGTCCGGGTCTCCCAGCACCATTTATTGAAGAGGCTATTTTTACTCCATTTTATGCTGCTGTCTCCTTTGTCAAATATTAATTCACTGTTGAGACTTGGGTTTCTGGGCTCTCTATTCTGTTGCATTGGGCCCTTGTCTGTTTTTATACCAGTACCAGGCTATTTTGATTACAGTGTCTTTGTAATACATTTTGATATCAAGTGTTGTGATTCTTCCTACTTTGCTTTTTTCTCAAAATTGCTGCAGTTATTCAGGGTTTATGGTTCTATATAAATTTTTGAAGTGTTTGTTCTATATCTGTGAAATATGCCATTGGTATTTTAATAGGTGTTATATTGAAACTATAAATTGCTTTGGGTAGTATGAACATTTTGATGATGTTAATTCTTCCAGTCCATGGACATGAACATGATATATGTTTCCATTTGTTTGTGTCTTCCTTAAATTCTGTCTCTAGTGTTGTGTAGTTTTCTGAGTACAAGTCTTGTAAACGTATTTGCCAATGATACCTCAGGCAAGGGTTTGATCTCCAAATTATGTAAAGAACTCACATGACTCCACTCTGAAAAGACAAGCAACCCAAATAAAAATGGGCAAAGGATTTGAACAGACACTTCTCCAAGGAGGACATACAAAGAGTCCGGAGACATATGAAAAGATGCTCAGTATCGATAGCCATCAAGGAGATGCAAATTAAAACCACAATGAGATACTACTTTACACTTATGATGGCCAGTCAGAATGGCCATCATAAACAGATCAACAAACAACAAATGTTGGAGAGGTTGTGGTGAAAAGGGAACCCTAGTGCACTATTGGTGGGACTGTAGACTGGTACAACCACTATGGAAAACAGTATGGAACTTCCTCAGAATACTAAAAATGGATCTGCCTTTTGACCCAGTAATTCCACTGCTAGGATTATATCCTAAGAACCCTGAAACACCAATCCAAAAGAACCTATGCTCCCCAATGTTCATAGCAGCACAATTTATAATAACCAAGTGCTGGAAGCAACCGAAGTGCCGATCAGTGAATTAGTGGATCAAAAAGCTATGGTACATTTATACAATGGAATTCTATGCAGCAGAAAGAAAGAATGAGCTCCTACCCTTTGTGACAGCATGGATGGAACTGGAGAGCATTATGCTAAGCAAAATAAACTAGGCAATGAAAGACAAATACCATATAATCTCACCATTAACAGGAACTAATAAACAGAATGAACAAGCAAGCAAAATATAACTAAAGGCACTGAAGTTGAGAACAGGCTGACAGTGATCAGAGGGGAGAGGGGAGGGGATTACAGGGCGAAAGGGTGAAGGGTTTGCAGGAACTATTACAAAGGACACATGGACAATAACAAGGCATACGGAAACAGGGGAGGGAGGTGAGGAGGGCTTCGGTGGTTGGGAGGGGTGGGGAATAGGCAGAAAACTGTACTTGAACAACAATAAAAAATGTTAAAAAAAGAAAAATAATAATAATCAAAAGGTGCAAAACTGACTTTTTGCATTTTAATCATGATAAGATTAACAGATAATTACTTTGATAAGCAGTAAAATTTATCTAAATTCCATCTTGATTTGTTTCATTAAAAATAAAGAAAGTTACTAGAGCAGAAAAAAAATAGTACTCTAAGCTCCAAATTTGTATGCATTGCACTTTCTGAGATAATGGCAGCAGATCCTACAACCTCTTCTCCTGTCAGCTCATTTGATCATTTGTCAGGAAAGGGCACTGGGAGAAAGGACTCCTCTTTCTGGTTTCATGCTGTTTTCTTTCCTTTGGCTCCAGTGCTGTGGCTGACATCTGCATGCATGCAGGAAGTTCTGGTGGTATTCACCCTCCAGCAAGTTTCTGTGACTAGTCACAGCCATAGTTTCCTCTTCTCCAGGCTCAGCCTGCTGACATTTTGTCAGAGAGGTCATCCTACTCGCCAGTCACACTGTGAGATCCATCCTCACCCACATCAGCCTGCAGACTGGGAGCTGCTCTGTCCTAGAGCCATCCAGTGAACATGTCTGCCATAGAGTTTTCTGTAGTGACACTGTCTGCCAGAAAGTCTGAAACCCAGTACTGAAGAGGAAGCCCTGGGTCTCATATGATTCTTCCTTTTGGTAATCTTTGACTAACCCTATGGTACATTTTGTAATTTTCTTCTACCCTTCTCTGCAGGCTTGCTGTGACCAAAAGAGCTAGATTGGTCAGATCCCGAGTGAAGGAGACGGGGTTGAGAAATAAAAGACAGAGTCAAAGCAGGGTCAGGTGGAGTCCCTTCTCTGGGATGCAGAGGAGGGAACTGTTTATTGGTGAAGTCAGGCTGCATATATTGAGTAAGCTTTGAAGCAGAGCATGAGAAAGACAAACCACAAGGCTAGGCACATTGTATTTTTTAAGAAAATTTGCTGCTCCTTCTTGGTACAGTGATACAGCAAGCAGCCGAGTCTTTCTTTCCTTACAACAATCTATCAGGCAGTCTTCTGTGGCCTGGGGCAGCTGTGCTGAACCCAAGGCCTTCTTCCCACTCCCTCAGCAAGCATCACCCTATTTGGCTCTCAAACAGGCTGTCCCCCCAAAATAATTAACCATTCTTTAAATCATCTCTGGTTTCTCTTTCCTGAATCAACCACCTTACACACCTTGTTATCCTGATATGTACAGTCCTCATTTTCATCATTCAAAGGCTGGGGAAAATTATATTCGAGATGTGTCTACAATTATTCATGTTATTTTAGACTTAGAAGTAACAGTGCTTGATATCATAATTCATAATTTATACTTGATATATTTTAATAAATAACAAAAGATTAAAATATATTTAATAGATATCTGGGTATATATTTTTAAAGATTAACATAAATGTATATTTTAAAACAATTCTCCAATACCAAGGATAAAGTGTTAGAAAAACTATGGACTTTAAGTGACTATGATGTGTCAGCACAGACTCATTCTCAGTGACAAATGTCCCACTATGCTGAGTGATGCTGATAATGGGGATGCTCTGCATGCAGGGCACATGGGGAATATGGGAAATCACAGTACCTTCCTCTTATTTTTGTGGTGAAAGTAAAACTG